AACATTTAAGGGCAAAGGTAGACGTAAAATTTGTTGCATCACAGAAGGGAATAAATTTGTAAAATAATCTGGCGAAGGCCAACTTTGTGCTTCAATAACATCTGAAACCCAAGAAAGAACCTTAGGTGAAATGACCGAACATAAACAAGGGCTAGTAATAGTTTCATCCATCCATTTGTCGAACCAAAAGGAAACTGACTTCCTATGACCAATAATCCAACGACTATTATCATTCAGAATAGGCAAAGCACGCTTAAGACCATGCCACACAGAAGACTGTAAATAGATATTTTGGTTTTTGTAAGGTGAAAGAGGAAAATGCTGACGAATGAAAGAACCCCACAAAGAAGAGTATTGTAAAGTATCCCATCCAAAACTAAGCAAAGCCGTCAAATTCAAAGAAACTAAATCACAAAAACCAAGCCCACCTTCGTGTTTGCAATTACAAGTGACTTTTGTGCAAGTACACAATACTTGTATCGTTTTTTCCACAACTACATGTACACATGCATATACATACATGCGTACATACATGCACACACATGCACATACATTATATACATACGTACATACTTACATACATATCCATATATATAATACAGCTTCATATATAATCACCATTTTGTAATTGGTTAGTTGATTAATTAACAGATAGTGTTATACACACACTTATTTTTACCTCCCTTACACCTTTGTTAATTTTTTGTCATTGATCTTTTTCAATTCATTTGATCCGACAGCAAAAAAAATAAAATATGTGTGTAAAAAGTAAAAATGCATGTGTGAATAGCACTACTCTTAATCTATAACAATTGTACCTCACGTGCTACACACATGTTAACACTGAAGACATTACCCTAGATCTTGCTTATAAGGTTTGGGGCGTAGTGTTATTTTTTTCTTTTTCTAAAAGGGAGACAACTTGTGGCAAGTTACAGTTATACACCCCTTACAAGGATCAGGAAGACTTACAGAGGCATTTTAGCCTCCCCTGACCACAAGTATGGCTTTCACACCATCATCATGTTTTGAACGCAAAACTTCCAAATTTTAGTTTGAAGAAAGCCTCGCAATCCGCTCTTGAGATATATATATATGTGTCTAGATCTATAACGATTTCGTTCTGGATATTTATTATTTATTTTTGTATTCGAGATAGGGACTCTTTTTGGTCAATACATACATGGCACAAAAAATGAGGGAAATAGAAGAGTGCAAGACTGATGGTAAGAGAGAAGTAGAAGAAATGTGACGCACAAAACATGAAATCAAAACTAAAAATAAAAAATTATTTTGAGTTTGCTTTCACTTTCAAAATTTTGTTTTCATTCTTTGTTCTTTATTTCTTCCCATCCCTCTCAAAGTTTCACCATTTTTCTTCATCCCTCATTTTCAATATTTTATCTATATTTCAAGTACAAAAATGAGAACTGAATAATAAAAATGAAAATATCACAAAAGGATTCATGAGCTTTACTACTATTAATTTTTATTCGTGTAAATAAAATTTTCGATTAACTCATCTATTGTAAATAAAAGAGTGTCCAAAGTGAAGCAACATATATTTACATAAATCAAAAGGAAAGTGATTTTCATACACCCTGTTTAACTTCTCACGCATCTTTTTTAGTTAAATTCATCATATTAAATAAATCAAACGAACCCAACAATCATAATTAAACAAGAGTGTGTAACAAGCTAAAAATTGTGTTTGAAAATCACTTTCCCAAACCAAAAATGCAAAGTGACAAAGAATTTTCCACCCTCGTTTGAATATCATTGTATAAACAAAGGCCAAAAAATCAAATCGTTCAACATCGAAAGTCGAAAAATATAACCATGAGGCAAAACCGAGCAAGGGCAATAGCCCAAACAAAGCACAAAGGCAAAGGGACTAACATGCATTGCTTCCTCAGTTAAAGTATAAAGTGGATCTAAATTAATCAATTGATCTATCCATTATATTAATTTTAATCATCACTATTAATCTCATCAAGAATCACAATAAGCGCGACAATGAACGCGTAGTCAATCCCGGGATACACTGTCACCATGAAATTGTCCTTGCCAATCAACATGCTTGCAACTGTTCGCTTCTTATGCATCTGCAATTTTCCGCACAGGGTATCATATCCCAGTCAGTACTTGTGGAGAAGAGAAATTAATATTAAGTAATTAAAGAAACAAGCTAAGGTGTAAGATTGCTTAATTGTGTTAATTAATGGTATATCAGCTGAATAAATCAGAAATCTTACTTGGGCAATGATTGTGGAGGAGTTCCCAGCATATATGGTACAAGATCGTTCAAACCAACTTCCTTTGACTCTGAAGTCAGGTGCATTCTCTGCTGTATTTTGTGCTAAGAAAACATCCAGTTTGGTATTAAATTGCAGCAGTGAAGATCTCTTGGCACTAAAAATCAGATTCCTTGAGTCTTTGCTATCCCCCCTGAAGACTTGCCATCTTTCATGTGCACTCATCAACTAGACATATATAAAATGTACACATAAGTTATTTAATTACAAATTTACAACAGAAGTAATACACATAGACTTGTAAAAATGTTCTCTTCCTAGACTATATGGTAAGTAAATCAATTAGATAATATTGGAAAATTGGATAAAATGATGAAAATACAATTCTTAATTGTTGAAATGATTGCTTTGTGGGTTTTTGTCGATATCTCGTCAGTATATTATCGATATGTGATCTATATATGATTTTTCTTATTTCCTCAATTGATGACTTGTTCAACCAATCTTTCGTACAGATTTAAGTTAATTTTTACCTGACAACGTTATCTATAGATTTAATTCTATTTTTGTTAGAATATGTGATTCAGATTGACGATATATCAACATTACCTGATAAACTTCAATGTTTGCAAACAAGGGATTAAAGCGAGTACAAAAGCTAGCAAGAGCTACATAAAGATATGCATGATTTGTTTTATATGTATATTAATCAAGATATTCTTATTACCTTCTTTCTTAGAGTGACAATAGGATATCCGGCAGTATCGAGCAAGACTCGACGATCATGACGGCTCCATCGAACTCCCTTCACTTTAAAGATGATCTTATCATTGATATCTGTGACCACAAAGTTTCCATCTGTTATGGTAAGAACTTTTCTGACAATTGCAATATCCACAGGGTGAGGACTGCAGAAATGGGGGCTGATGATTGCAACGGCGGGATTTGCATACGCTATTGGCGCCGGATTTGCATACGCTATTGGCGCCGAATTCGCAGACGATGTTGGCCCCGGATTGGCATACGCTGTTGGCGCCGAATTGGCGTATGCTAACGGTGGCGCGCTAGGTTCTGCTTGTTTCATGATGATCAGAGAAATGATAGATGTTGATGAACACTTTTTTTTTTTTGGGGGAAACACAAACTTGGTTATATGTGGGTGTGTACGTATAAATATAGGTCACCTATATTGACCGTTGTCAATTAAAATATATATATATATATATATATATATATTTTATTAAAATTGAAGATGTTTAATTATCTAAATGTAATAATACATAGACAAATATAACGTTGTCGATAAGCCATAAACTGTTCACAATAATAATTAAAGTATTAAAATCATTTAGTATTATGGTCTAGTGATATTCCTCTCCATAAAGTATTAAAATCATTTAGTATTATGGTTTAGTGATATTCCTCTCCACTTGTAAGCGAGAGGTTTTAGGTTCGATTCTCGTTAAAAATGGATTTAAGCCACATTGTTGCTAGTAGTGAGGCTTAGTATATTCTCTCATTCTCTTAGTGTAGATAATATCGTTTATTAAAAAAAATTATTAAGGAGTTAAATGATTTTCTATTTAAATGAACAGTTGCAGATATTATCTATTAATCATGACCTAAAAAATGAACTATTTGAATCATGAGTTTAATTTCAAAAGGAACTAAAATAAATAATTTTTTTTTGTCAATAACTAAAATAAATAATTAATGTCATATTAAGTTATTAACTGATTAATGCATGCATGAGCGCTCATATATTGTATATATAAACATAAATCAAATTAATACGTGGAAATAAGACATATAACTAATAGGCGTCAATTTTTTTGTTTTGGTTCAAATTTGAGCAAGCATTTTTAGAGGATGGGAAATCCAAGGCTTTCCTTCCGTCCTCGTATATAAAGTCAAAATCCAGAGCATATTATAAGTTAAAAAATAACATTGGTATGTCAAAGTTGAAAGTTTGAAGCTGGAAGCTTCCTCATTATATAATATAATATAATATATAATATAATATACATGATGAAAAAGTCACTTGAACAAAAGTGGTTGTATTCAACACGCTCTATGCTTATCATTAGACCAAGTCATGGTATGCAGTACGCATCGTATCTTAAAATATTAAAAGCCAACAAGCGTGTGGAAGTTTGATATCTGAAAGTGAAAGAGGAATGTGAAGAGGACTTGTTTAAAGATAAACTTTCCATGAATTTTTAATAGAGAACTTTAACGAAAAGCACCCGGTACGGTTCACTTTAACGAAAAACCATATTTTTACACTAAAAAGTCAATCTTAGTACTATTCACGTTACCCTTTATTTTGTCCTTATCATTAAAACTCAAAGTTTTCAAGCTCTTTTCATTAGTTTTCCTTTTTTAGGGAACTTTAACGAACCTCATAATTTAATATTAATTTTCGTACTATTATTATAGTATATTATATCAAAAACATAAAATGATGAAGAATTAATAAATAATCTAATTTTTGAAAGAATCATCTTAACATTTCCGAAAACAATAATTTTTATTTTTAGTCGAAAAGTCATCAAAATAAAAAAGAGTTTCTTCAACACATGATAGTTACGAAATTTTAATAATTCGTTGCTCTAACACATCACCTCGGACACAGTTGGTTGATCGACACTAACCTTCCTCAAAACCATAAATTGATCGGCACTCACGGTTGATTGGTCGTTAAAAAGCCTCAGTTGCATTGAAATTATGCATGATAAAAAAAAGCCGCAACATCATAAATCAAACCAAACCAAACCGAACAAACCGACCCGTTTGGTTACTTTTCTGACCAAAGTTGTTTGACGTAATAGGCCTAATAAAGCACAAACAAAGGTTATGTCTTGTGATCCAAAAAAACACATATGGGCCGTTTCCAGCCCGTTAACATGCCCAAAATACTACATGTCGTTTTTATCGTCTTGTTCATTAGCGTTCCAACAGCGCAGCACAGTTGCAAGAAGTTGCAGAAATCAAAGAATACCAACGAGTATTTCCAACCTGAAACCAACAGATGACCGCAAACAATTCGAACTCGAAATCGAATCAAGAATGGTGAGAGCCTCTGCACTAAAACCCAGCAGCAAATTCTTCCTGAGAAAGCACAGGAAATGGCCAGTGTCGCCCTACAACACTCGGTGGCACCAAATCTTCAACCAAAACCAAGCCTTCCAGAGCCTCAAAAAATCATCGCCGCCGCCGGAAAACCAGCCGCACCTCCTTCTTCCGACGCTCGTTTTCTCCTTCAGCACCTACAACGTCGACCCAACTCCGGAAGCCTACCACTTTGTCCTCAAAACTCTCACCAAAACCTCCCAATTCGACCACATCGCTCCGGTTCTCCGCCGGCTCGAAACTGTCGAAAAGTTCGACACGCCGGAGCATATTTTTGCCCATCTGATTGGTTTTTATGGCCGTTGGAACAGAACCCAGGACGCCATTGATCTGTTTTACAGGATTCTCAGGTTCAGGTGTGTCCCTTCTGCTCACTCTCTCAATGCATTGCTGTATGTGCTTTGTGGGTCCTGTGAAGGTCTTAAATTGGTGCCTGAGATTTTGCTCAGGAGCCATGTAATGGGCATCCGGCTCGAAGAATCGAGCTTTCGGATTTTAATCGATGCACTGTGTGCAATTGGGAAGGTTGGATATGCTATTGACATTATGAATTGTATGATGAATAATGGGTATGGTTTGAATGTGAAGATTTGCTCTTTGATATTGTCATCAATGTGTGAACAGAAGGATTCAGAGGGTGTTGATGTTATGGGGTTTTTGGGAGAAATGCAGAAGCTTGGGTTTTGTCCTGGGATGATGGACTATTCCAATGTGATTAGGTTTATGGTGAAGCAGGGGCGGGGTTTGGATGCTTTAAATGTGGTGATTAAGATGAAAGGGGAAGGAATTAAGCCTGACGTTATTTGTTATACCATGGTCTTACATGGCGTTATCACGGAAGGGGATTTCAAGAAGGCGGATCAGGTTTTTGATGAGTTGCTTGTGTTGGGTTTGGTTCCTGATGTATATACTTACAATGTGTATATAAATGGTTTGTGTAAGCAGAATAAAGTTGAATCCGGAATGATGATGATTTCTTCTATGGAAGAGTTGGGTTGCAAGCCTAATTTGATTACTTACAACATCTTGCTGAAGGCCCTGTGTAACAATGGGGAGCTTAGGAGGGCGAGAGAGCTTATGCGTGAGATGACGTTAAACGGTGTTGGGGTAAACTTGCAGACGCATAGGATTATGCTGGATGGTCTGTTTGGCAAAGGAGACATTGAGGAAGCTTGTGTTTTTATGGAAGAAATGTTAGATAAGGTTCTTGTTCGTTTTTGTTCCTCGTTCGATGAGGTGATCTATGGGTTGTGCCACAGGGGTTTGGCTTGTAAAGCAATGGAATTGCTGAAGAAAATGATTGACAAGAACGTTGCGCCCGGAGCAAAGGCTTGGGAAGCACTGCTCCTTAGCTCAGGATCTGAACCCAGCTTAGAAGAGACTACTTGGACGGGTTTGGTGGAGCCAATGGTAGCACTTCCATAGGTGATGGATCACCAGTTAACAGTGCATCTGATGTTTATACTTACCATGCATATTCAAATCGTTTGTGCAAGCAGAACAATATGGAGGCAGGATTAAACATGATTTCATGTATAAGAGCTGGGGTGCAATTCTAATTCGATTACTTGAGATGACGTTAAAAGGGTCTCAGAGTTAACTTGCAGGCTCATAGGATTATGTTGGATGGTTCGTCTGGCAAAGGAGACGTTGATGAAGCTTGTGTCTTTATGGAAGAAATGTTTATAAGGTTCTCGTTCGTTTTTGTTCCTCATTCAGTGAGGTAATTTACAGGTTGTGCCAAAGGGGTTTGGGTTGTAAAGCAATGGAATTGGTCAAGAAAATGGTTGACAAGAACGTTGCGTCAAGACCAAAGGCTAGGGAAGCACTGCTCCGAACCCGGTTTAGAAGAGACTACTTGGACTGGTTTGGTGGAGCCAGTTATAGCACCAACAGATAACCAGTAAACTGTGCATCTTTGTCATACATGTACCATTAGTTGTTTGTGCCGTATAGAATCCACAGCGACAGTTGATTGACTACTCCTGCACAGTGCAAAGCTGCATGCATCCATGTGCATCAGATTCCTTTACTTCTAACGTTTTGCTGAAGATGGGCAATTGAGCCTGACTCGTCGTGCTGTACTAGTGCCGGCCTTTTGTCTCTTCCTCCGAAAATGTTGGCATAAAACTGTATGTACATTCATACCAACCTAGATTCTTCCGTTTTACTTGCTAGCCTATGGTGGTGTTACTCTTGTTCTTGGTTTGTTCTTAAACGCAACCATTCAGTGAAATTTTTCTTGAGGACCTATAGACGTTCGATACCAACATATACCTAACCATTATCAACGGTCCTCGATCACTCAATTTAAGCGTTTCGATTGTGTAGATTTTTTGGGCCAAAATTAAGCCACAGAAAATCACTCATGTGGAACCAAAACCTAGTCACCTACTTCCTTTTAATTCAATAATGTGAGATTTGAAGTACATAAACTTTAGAGGGAAAAAAGATAAAAGCGCTCTGTTCTTTGATCACTTCAATCTTATCTTGTTTTATGTGGGAAAAATAGCAGCCATTCACTTAGAACGTAAAAATATGCGACTTCAAGTCAATAAGGCTTCTCATTGTGCGAGAGTTGAGGGAAAGATTGTCTGTCATATGCAGACTTATTGTTATTTTATAAAGAGACTATTTTCACGACTCAAACTCGTAACATTTTAATCATAAAACAGAAAAAAAAAAAAACATTTTCATTGCGTCTCACTCTGATTTCCTTAAAAAGTAAAAACCAACAAATAAAAGTAAAAAAGAAACAAATTTGCTGGCTATTAACCTTTGTCCAGTGAAATCATTGAGGCATCCAGAGATCGCTGGTTGTCGCCTTTCCAAAAGATTGCCGGTGTGAAAAGGGCTTCTTCAGGAAGAACTAAATAATCTGCTGTCACACTCACGTTATCTAAATTAATTTGAATTTAATCAGCTATTAAACCTCTAAAGAGAATATAATTACGCATTTAAAAAAGTTGAATAGAAACATATCAAGAAGCTACGGATGTATTTGAGTTGCAAATTGTTGTCAGTCAGACGTGGATGATGAGAAGGAAGGAATGGAGACAGATGTGGTGGTGTTTCCTTGCCGATCAATAAAGTTCAAATTTTGCAGTGTCTATTTTGTTCCTCATTTTCATTTTTGTCTCAAGTGTTTGTTCTAGTTGTAATGTACGGCTGGGATTAAAACATCTTAAGGACTTGTATTAGATCAGCTGTCATAATAGCGGTGTAGAGTAAGCGATGCATGTGCACACCACGTGAGTCTCTTGTGAATCTCCCAATGGTCATGTTGATTTTATCCTTCGTTTTTGGTTCCAATGTGTAATGTTGAACGTGCGAATGAAATGGAGCTATGAACTCCACCTTTCTTCTTCCTAAAGCTCAGATAACTTAAACAATTTTCTTTTTCCAAAACTAAGTAAAATTCTGGAAAATACAATCCAATTCAGTTAACAAGCACTAACATGGCCTCAAAGCTTGGTTCAATATGAATCAATGTATTAAAGGCGAAGGCATAGGTGAGGCATCCCATGGATATTCCCGCCTAAGCATGAGGAGAAGCCTCACGGTACCTAAAATTTTAATATATATTACATGTATAATTATAGTTTATAGATATAATACTTTGTAAAACAAATATAATTATAACTAAATCAAAGATAATTAGTTGTACTTAGAAACTATGTCATAAAGTCTTAAAATGTTGTAATTATTTATTTTATTGTAAGCAATTATAGAGAACTTTAAGAGAAATAAGGGTGAGTGGCCACAATTATAGGGAATTTCAAGGAAAATAAAGGCTGAATGTCACAATTATAGGGAAATTAAAAAGGAAATAAAGGTTGAGTGAAGAAATTATAGGGAATTTAAATGGAAATAAAGGCTTAGTGGAGCAATTATTATAGGGAATTTAAAGGAAAATAAAGGAAGAGTTAGAGTTGGAGTTAGACTTTGTCATTTGGAGAGAGAAACTCTCTCTTTCTTCTTCATTTAGACTAGAACAGTCTCCTACATTTTAGAAACAGACATGAATTTTGAAGGGATAAAAACGCCTAAGTTGAATGCTTGGGCACGCCTCAGCCACCTAGGCGCGCCCCGATGCCGCCCTACGCCACCCCCACAAAACAAAGGCGAAAATCCAGCAGTCCAACCTTCAAGGCCATCTAGGCACGCCCATAGGTGAGTTTTTTAAAACACTGGTATGAATCAAGGGGTATCAATTGTGACTGTGGTTTTCTAGGTTTTCAATGAAGAACTTAGACAACTTGTAACTGTGATGGTTGTATCTAGAGCTGATCTTCGAGCTTCAATGTTCATCGGAGTGAACTACAACTTCTGGTGTATCAAAATGAAGACTAGTTCAAGGGAGAAATTTGGAGTAGTTGTGAAATATAATGGCAATAAGGAGAATGCAAAAAAAGGTTGAAAAACTTGTGGAAATTATGATGAATGCTGGTTCAAGGGGAAACCAAAGTGCCATAAGTGAGACAAATTTGGTCACATTACCAAGGACTGCAGAAGTAAAGTGGTTCAATAGGTTCACTATGCCAACCAAGTTGAGGAGAAAACTTCAATGTTCTCTGCATGTAATTCAACAATTATGGTCAAAGATTAGCATGTGTGGTTTATTGATAGTGGTTGTAGTAACCACATGACCTCGCACGAGTCACTGCTTATAAATATGAGGACATAACTGTAACTACAAGATTAAAATGGAAAATGGACAGAATTTTCAAGCCACATGGAAAGGTACTCTAGTGATTAAGACCAAAATGGAACAAGATATATTAGAGAGATGATGTTGGTTTATGGTTTAGATGAAAATATGTTGGGTGTCAAATGATCCAACATGGATAATTCTTGTTGTTTGAAGATGGTATGGTGGTAATCTTTTAAGATAGGCAACTTGAATATCATGTGGCCACAATACATATGACATCAAATACATGTTTTCCTTTACTCATGGAAGACATGAATCCAGTGGCTAGAAAAGTTGTGATAGAAGAGAATGCATGAGATTGGCATAGGAGAACGGGACATTTGAATTTTCCAAGTATGCAATTACTTGAAGAGAAAGAAATGGTGTATAGGTTACTAAGACTGAAAGCAAGTGGTGGAATAAGTGTAGGATGTGTTGCAGGAAAACAACACAGAGAGACTTTTAGTAGAGAACAAGTATAGATAGCTTTACAACCTTTGGAATTGATACATTCTGATGCATATGGACCTGCAGGTGACTACAATGGAAGGCAATAAATATTTTCATAGATGATTATACTTAAATGTGTTGAATTTATTTCTTGACTTGCAAGTCAAAAGTGTTTGGAATGTTCAAGAGGTTAAAAGTTATGGTAGAATTGCAGTATGGCTATTCAATCAAGAGACTAAGAAGTGATACAAGAAGATAGTACACTTCAACTACAACAACAACAACAACAACAACAAAGCCTTTTCTTACTAAGTGGGGTCGGCTATATGAATCCTAGAACGCCATTGCGCTCGGTTTTGTGTCATGTCCTCCGTTAGATCCAAGTACTCTAAGTCTTTTCTTAGGGTCTCTTCCAAAGTTTTCCTAGGTCTTCCTCTACCCTTTCGGCCCCGAACCTCTGTTCCGTAGTCACATCTTCGAACCGGAGCGTCAGTAGGCCTTCTTTGCACATGTCCAAACCACCGTAACCGATTTTCTCTCATCTTTCCTTCAACTTCGGCTACTCCTACTTTACCTCGGATATCCTCATTCACAATCTTATCCTTTCTCGTGTGCCCACACATCCCACGAAGCATCCTTATCTTCGCTACACCCATTTTGTGTACGTGTTGATGCTTCACCGCCCAACATTCTGTGCCATACAACATCGCTGGCCTTATTGCCGTCCTATAAAATTTTTCCTTGAGCTTCAATGACCTACGACGGTCACACAACACGCCGGATGCACTTACACTTCATCCATCCAGCTTGTATTCTATGGTTGAGATCTCCATCTAATTCTTTGTTCTCTTACAAGATAGATCCTAGGTAGCGAAAACGGTCGCTTTTTGTGATCTTCGCTAGATTGCTCTGGTCATTAGTGTGGATAAGTATATAAATGGATAAAGATAGGAAAGCAAACACCAGATGTACGTGGTTCACCCATATTGGCTACATCCACGAAATAGATGAGTTCTCATTAATTGTGAAGGGTTTACACAAGTACATAGATTCAAGCTCTCTTTTAGTGAGTACAAGTGAATGATTTAATACAAATGACATTAGGAAATATTGTGGGAGAATGATCTCGTAATCACGAAACTTCTAAGTTCCGGAGTGTGGTATCGTCTTGACTTGCCTTATCTGTCTCGTAGGTAGATGTGGCATCTTCTCTGGAAGTACTCTTCCTCCATCTAGGGGTGGTATCTTTAACTGGTGGAGATGCACAAGGTAATGTATCAATTTCACTTGAAGCTTACTTGTAGTTTCAGGCTTGGTCAAGCGCGATACAAACCATGTAGTAGGAGTCCTCCAAGTCGCCGAGCTAGGGGATCTGCTGAAAGAGGTGACAGACAAGGTAAGCAATCAGAGCTCCAAGCAATCAGTCCCAGATCAGAACTTTGATTTCGAGTTCCGGCTGATTGTTCACATTCTCCCTATCTTGCAGGCAGCATGAAGGATAAAGAGAAGAAAAATGAGAATAGATGATATGGGATACTTTTGCTTTTGAAGAAGTAACTTTCCACATGCTTATTCTTGAACTGGGCTGGAGGGTTTTCTGGTTTCCTCCAGAGTATAAGGCCGACTGAAGAATTTGAGGGTCAAGGGTCAAAACAAGTCCATCAAATCTATAGTACGTTCGACCCTGCTGATATGGGATACTTTTGCTTTTGACAGAGTAGTGGATGTATCGGCACGTGTGCTGTTACGCTTGTCTCCACATGCTTCCTTGTATCCTTCTCACTTGCCCTATATGTTCCTCAGGCAGATGCGGTATCTTCCCTGGAAGCATAAGATGTTGAAGATGAGTACTCGAGAGCAATGCCAGGTAAGTAATCAAGTAAGGGGTTCCAGGCAGTCAGTTCCTGACTGGAAGCTTGATTCCAAGTGTTGACTGATTGCTCTCTTTCTCCTTATCTTGCAGGTAAGAACAAGGCCAAATGAAAAGACAGGGAAAAAACATAATATGGGATACTCTTGCTTTTAACCCTGATGATATGAGATATTCTTGCTCTAGTATAGCTTGTTTGCAGAGGTATTATCGGGGGGAAAGAAAGCTGAATATTTCGAA